GCCACATGGCGCTCAACAAGGTACGGCATGCAGTGTGCAGTGTGCAGTGTGCTGTGTGCAGTGTGCAGTGTGCAGTGTGCATCCTGCAGAGCGTGATGCGGCGGCACCGCGCCGCGCGCACGCCCTGCCCGCGCTGCGGACACGCCTGCCCCGTGCCGCTGCCGCACCGCCACATGGCGCTCAACAAGGTACGGCATGCAGTGTGCAGTGTGCAGTGTGCTGTGTGCAGTGTGCAGTGTGCAGTGTGCATCCTGCAGAGCGTGATGCGGCGGCACCGCGCCGCGCGCACGCCCTGCCCGCGCTGCGGACACGCCTGCCCCGTGCCGCTGCCGCACCGCCACATGGCGCTCAACAAGGTACGGCATGCAGTGTGCAGTGTGCAGTGTGCTGTGTGCAGTGTGCAGTGTGCAGTGTGCATCCTGTAGAGCGTGATGCGGCAGCACCGTGCCGTAAAATTATTAACCCTCATTCCCGGATATCCTGCATATTGTCTGAGCTACCTTTTTTTATAGAATAAGGATGACATACGAGCAACCGTCCACCTGATGGTAAGTGGATGTTTTGGCCCATAGACATCTACTTTTGTCCTAAATTAAGAATTAAATCGCAGATGCATTGTCACCCCAAACGACTGAGATGGAATGCCTCGTTTCCAGTAAAGGTCTCCAGTTCTCTACACTCACCATATAAAACACAGCAACATTGAGCTGCTATTTTACGTTTGTATTGTGTAAGAGCGTGGTACCCTCCGGTCAAGCCGACCCATTCGTGCTGCAACCATAATATTGCTAGTTGCTACCATATATTAGGTCGAGAAAAAAGTTTCATCTTTATTTTATGTACAAATTCAAGACATTTTTTTGCAGGTTTAATTACATTTAATTATAATTTATATGCCCCCAAGGAATGCCACAAAGCACGGTCCTGAGCCACCTGCATCCATCGACTTCCTGCATGTCTTACCAGGTCGTCACTCCATCTCTTGGGGGGTCGCCCTATACTTCGCCTACCGGTACGAGGCTGCCACTCAAGAACCTTTCTTCCCCATCTGTTGTCGGTTCTTCGAGCTACATGGCCAGCCCACTGCCACTTCAGCCTACTAATCCGTTGGGCTATGTCGGTTACTCTGGTTCTACTGCGGATATACTCATTTCTAAGTTTATCACGCTCTGCATGCATACCCCGAGCATAGCCTTCTCCATAGCTCGCTGAGCAACCTTAACCTCATACGGCCAGCAGTGAAGGACCACGTCTCAGATCCGTAAGTCATCACTGGCAACACGCACTGGTTGTACAATTTCGTTTTGAGGTATGTCTGACGAGATGTGTCGTAGTTTCCCGAACGCTGCCCAGCCGAGTTGAATCCGTCGATTGACCTCTCGGTCGAAGTTGGACTTACCTAGTCGGACTATTTGTCCCAGGTAAACATACTCGTCAACAACTTCGAGCTTAGTGCTCCCAACAGCTACCGGCATAGGTGTGACATGGACACTAAACATGATCTTTGTTTTGTCCATGTTCATCCTAAGACCTATTCGTTGGGAGACACTATTGAGGTCATTGAGCATGGTGCTTAGGTCCTCCAGCGATTCTGCCATAAGGACTATATCGTCGGCAAATCGAAGGTGAGTAATTTACTCTGTATTCGCCATTGATGTTAATACCGTATCCTTTCCAGTCCAGAAGCTTGAAAACGTCTTCCAATGCAGCGGTGAAGAGTTTCGGTGATATAACGTCAACCTGTCTTACACCCCTCTGCAATTGGATAGGTTTCGTACTCTGGTTCTGTACTCGGATAGCCATCGTAGCTCTACTGTACAAACACTTCAGCACTTCGATATACCGACAGTCAACTTGGCACCGCTGAAGGGACTGCAGCACCGCCCAAATTTCGACGGAATCAAAGGCTTTCTCATAGTCCACATACGCCAGACATAGTGGCAAATTGTACTCTTCGGACTTCTGTACAATTTGCCGAAGGGTATGTATGTGGTCTATGGTGCTAAAGCCTTTTCGGAAGCCGGCTTGTTCGGGAGGCTGGTTGTCGTCAAGTCTGCGCGCGAGACGATTCGTAATGAATCTCGAAAACAGCACGTAGACGCGGCTCAGAAGGGACGCTGTTCAAGAGAACGTTGTCACCTTTCTTGAAGAAAAAGACCACCGCACTTCTGCTCCATGCCTCCGGTGTAATGCCACCATGGAGGACAGAATTATAGAGCCTCCGAAGGACTTCAAGTACTGGTCTTCCACCCGCTTTCAGAAGCTCCTCTGTAATTCCATCCTCGCCTGGGGCCTTGCCGTTTTTAAGGTGCTGGAGAGCAATTCTAATCTCGATCAGACTGACGTCCGGGATATCTTCGGAATAGTGCCGGATAAGACTCGCTCTTGGATCGTTACTCACACTTGCGTGTGGCTCCAACGATGACGTGTACAGCTGCCCATAGAACCTCTCTATTACGAAAATTTAATGTATGTTCACAAAAACAAAGATAGTTGTAGTAAAAAAAGTGATATACATTCTGTAAACACTAGGAACAAACACAAGCTAGTGATGACAGTTTCTCGACTCCACAGAGTCAGTAATTCATTCTTGGGGCAATGTATACGCTATTACAACAAGGTCCCGGAAAGTGTACAGGTTCTCTCTATTACCGAGTTTAAATGTTTTATTAAGCTGAAACTGTATAAAAAGGGTTATTATAGTATAAATGAATACATGGTTGATAATAACCCCTGGGAATGAGGTGGTCGCTTCCAAGCAGTTTCTAAAATAAATTTTGTAAATAGTTCGTAATCATTTATATTGTAAAATTTATTTTAAAAAAAAGTCCCGCTGGGTTTCTTGCTGGTTCTTCCCAGGACAGAGGGTTTTTTTTCGAACCAGTGGTAAAGTAAAAAATGACTTTCAATAAGAATTACACATGTAATGTATATTGAATAAAAAATATTCTATTCTATTCTATTCTATTCTATTCTCAATCTCACTCAAAATCTCAGGTGCCCCGGAAACGATGCTACCACACTCGGTCTTCAGCTTCGACAGTTGGCTCTTTCTGGCAGACAGATCTCTGGCAAAGACTTTGGAGCCTTGGTTCTGCTCGATCGCTTCTTCAATACAAGCTGTATTGAAGTTGCGTAAGTCCCGCCGCATGCATTTGGAGATCTGTCTGTTCAGTTGCCTGGATGCTGTCAAATCTGTTGAAGAATGTAGCTTCATCTCCCGTCTAACAGCCATGAGATTAAAAGTGTGATCGAAGAGTTTTTGTGTTCTTCTGCGGCGGGTCTTGCAGAACTTAGCTCCGACCGCATGGACAGTTTCCACGAGCTTGTCGTTCATATCGTCCACTGCATTGCAATCTTCTAGGCACTGAAAACGATTTTGTAGCTCAAGCTGAAAGGTTTCGGGACTTTGGAACAGAGCACGAGGGGGACGGAGCGTTGACTTCATTACACGAGACCTCTCCAACTTAACGTTTAGGTTCAGTGTGCCTCTAACCATTCGGTGATCGCTACCAGTTTTCACCCTCGCGATCACGGAGCCATCACTGAACAGTTGTCGTCTGCTCGTCATAATGAAGTCAATCTCGTTTTTTGTGGAACCGTCGGGGCTCAACCAGGTCCACTTCCTGTGGGACCGCTTCTGGAAGAAAGAGTTCATCATAACGAGTCCCTCTTTCTCCATGAAGTCGGCCAGCTGCTGACCCCTTGGGTTCCGTTGCTCTATTCCAAATTTCCCTACTTTCAGCTCACCGTTCTCTCTTGTGCCTAGTTTTGCATTGAAGTCTCCCATTAACGCATATTGGGTTTTGGAGGAATGCATGGCTCTAGAGATATCCTCATACATTTCCTCCACTTCCTCATCGGGATGTGCCGAGGTTGGTGCATAAACCTGTATGACCTTCAGCGAATACCGTTTGGTGATTCTGAGTATAAGGTACTCAACCCTCGTCGACACACTCTCAATCTTTACAACGTTGTTAACGAGAGACTTGTGGACAATAAATCCGACACCTCCTTGGGACAGATGGTCGCCCTCCCGGTGATAGAGCAAGTTGCCGAATTCGAAGATTACCGTGTCCTCCCCCTCTCTTCGGACTTCAGATAATCCTATAATATGCCAGCGTAACTTGTCTATCTCTTCTTGCAGCTCCACGACCTTCTCGTCAGTCCTCAGGGTGCGTGCATTGTATGTTGCCAGGTAGAGTCGTCTTAGGTGGCAACTGAACCTCCACCGGAGTTTCTTAGCACCCCCTGCCCCGCCGTTACCATGGTCGCCACCGTAGCCAGGAAGAGCGGGGCCGCCGGGGACTGGGGGCCGTTTCTTTGTTACTGTTATTTCATAGGGGGGTATTTGCCATAGTTGCCACGCTTGGCGAGCGGGTTGGCAACCGCCGTTTTTTTATTGTAAGTTTGTTGTTATCAGGAAAATGCTGCTGCCCATCTCCTGCCTGCCTCCCTTTGTCACCTTTTACGACACCCACGGGAAGATATGGGGTAGTGGATATTCTTGACCGCCACTACACGGCGAGCAAAGCACAGTAAAGAATAGAAATAAAGTATAACAATAACAAACAAATGTTTTTAAAATCTTTTTTTATATAAGGGTAAGAAACGAGCACACAGTCCACCTGATGGTAAGTGGATGCTGCAGCCCATAGACATCTACATCTATCCTCGACCACGAATCGAAATGCAGATGCGTTGTCACCCGTGAGGACTAAGATGGAATGCCTCGTTTCCAGTAAATAGGGTCTCCGGATCTCTACACTCACCATACGAAACACAACATTTTACGCTGGTATTCTGTGAGAGCGTGGGCCTTCTCCGGTCCAGCCAACCCATTTGTGCTACAACTATACCAATAATATAACTTAGATACTACTTCACATTGGTAAAAAAAAATATATTTTTTTCTAAATGACAATGTGTTCTACCATGACTCATTCCTAAGTTATCCATTAATTACCGGACATCCTTTATATTATCCGTGTCTTTTGCAGGTTGACTTCTTCTGGATAAACCGGGAGCAGCAGTCGTTCGAGTGGTTCGTGTCGCTGCTGTCGCAACTGGAGATGGAGCAGGCGGAGCTAGGCGAGCAGCGCTTCCTGGAGATGCACATGTACATCACCAGCGCGCTGCAGCGGCACGACATGCGCGCCGTCGGCCTGCAGCTGGCGCTAGACCTGCTACACGAGAAGGTACCCACACGCACACACCTGCACTCATATGTACACACGTGTATTTATATTATGTACGCAAGTAATACTCACACTTGTACATAAATCACACATATACACGTGCACACACGTTTTCTTATATTATGTACGCATTAAATACACACACATTTTTTTTAAATCACACGTACACACTTCATACGTAGGTCACTCAATAAGTTTTGAGATATACAAAAAGTATTCTAGATACTATCAATATTTATTTTACATCTTGTCAAAATATTCTCCATCATGCTCTGTACAAAGTTCCATTCGCCTAAGCCAACTCTGAAAACACTTTTGCCAGTCTTGATCTGACAGGTCGGAAATGCTTCTTCGTAAGCAGCCACGGCTTCTTCGGCGCTTGAAAAAAACTTGCCTTTTATTTTTTCTTTGACTCTTGGGAACAAAAAGAAATTACAAGGAGCTAAGTCAGGGGTTTAGGGTGGGCGACTTAGAGTTTCAACACCAGATTCCTCAATAAATGCTTTTGTTCTAAGGGAGGTATGTGAAGAGGCGTTATCGTCATGTAGCATGATTACCCGAAGCCCGATCTTTGGTCTTCTCTCCCGCACAGCTTGAAAAGCTTTGGGTAATGCAACTGTAGTATAACCATTCAGAGTTGACTGACCTACAATATTCCAACATTGACGTCGACAAATGTCCGCTACTCGAAAAAAAACTAGCCACCATTTTTTGCCGACGTTGCGAGGTCTTTGCAGTTTTGTCGGTAACTGTCCTTCTGAGTAGACTCATACCGATGATTGCCTTTTATTTTCCGGATCGTATTGATAGATCCATGTCTCGTCACCAGTAACGATTTCTGAAACACCCATAGATGCCCCGTTTTCAAAACGTAGACGCATTTCATGGCACCAATCCACACGAGTCTGTTTTTCGCTTTCGGAGAGCAAATGAGGGATCCATCGACAACAAAGCTTCCTCACTCCAAGATGTTGATTTAGGATGGTATGAATGCTCCCCGAACTAATGTCTACAATCTTTTCGATGTCCGTATATGTGATTCGTGGATTCTCTCGCACTAACATTTCAGTCATCATCATTACAGCCCTTCACAAGTCCACTGCTGAACATAGACCTCCCCCAAAGAATGCCACAAAGCACGGTCCTGAGCCACCTGCATCCATCGACTTCCTGCATATCTTACCAGGTCGTCACTCCATCTAGTGGGGGGACGCCCTACACTTCGCCTGCCGGTACGAGGCTGCCACTCGAGAACCTTTCTTCCCCATCGGTTGTCGGTTCTTCGAGCTATATGGTCGGCCCATTGCCACTTCAGCTTACTAATCCGTTGGGCTATGTCGGTCACTCTAGTTCTACTGCGGATATCCTCATTTCTGAGTTTATCACGCAGAGAAACTCCGAGCATAGCCCTCTCCATAGCTCGCTGAGAGACCTTGAGCTTCCTCATCCGGCCAGCAGTGAAGGACCACGTCTCAGTTCCGTATGTCATCACTGGCAACACGCACTGGGTGTACAGTCTCGTTTTCAAGTTTTGAGGTATACCTGACGAGAAGATGTGCCGTAATTTCCCGAACGCTGCCCAACCGAGTTGAATCCGTCGATTGACCTCTCGGTCGAAGTTGGACTTACCTAGTCGGACTATTTGTCCCAGGTAAACATACTCGTCAACAACTTCGAGCTTAGTGTTCCCAACAACTACCGGCATAGGTGTGACATGGACATTAAACATGATCTTTGTTTTGTCCATGTTCATCTTAAGACCTATCCGTTGGGAAACACTATTGAGGTCATTGAGCATAGTGCTTAGGTCCTCCAGCGATTCTGCCATAAGGACTATATCGTCGGCAAATCGAAGGTGAGTGATGTACTCGCCATTGATGTTGATACCGTATCCTTTCCAGTCCAGAAGCTTGAAAACATCTTCCAATGCAGCGGTAAAGAGTTTCGGGGATATGACGTCACCCTGTCTTACACCTCTCTGCAATTGGATAGGTTTCGTACTCTGGTTCTGTACTCGGATAGCCATCGTAGCCCTACTGTACAAGCACTTCAACACTTCGATATACCGACAGTCAACTTGGCATCGCTGAAGGGACTGCAGCACCGCCCAAATTTCGACGGAATCAAAGGCTTTCTCATAGTCCACATACGCCAGACATAGTGGCAAATTGTACTCCTCGGACTTCTGTACAATTTGCCGAAGGGTATGTATGTGGTCTATGGTGCTAAAGCCTTTTCGGAAACCGGCTTGTTCGGGAGGCTGGAAGTCGTCAAGTCTGCGCGCGAGACGATTCGTAATGACTCTCGAAAACAGCACGTAGACGCGGCTCAGAAGGGAAATCGGTCTGTAGTTCTTCAAGAGAGCGTTGTCGCCTTTCTTGAAGAACAAGACCACCGCACTTCTGCTCCACGCCTCCGGTGTAATGCCACCATGGAGGACGGAATTAAAGAGCTTCTGAAGGACTTCAAGTACCGGTTTTCCACCCGCTTTCAGAAGCTCCGCTGTAATTCCATCCTCGCCTGGGGCCTTGCCGTTTTTAAGGTGCTGGAGAGCCATTCTAATCTCGCTCAGACTGACGTCCGGGATATCATCGGAATAATGTCGGATAAGACTCGCTCTTGGATCGTTACTCACACTTGCGTGCGGCTCCAACGATGACGTGTACAGCTGCCCATAGAACCTCTCAATCTCACTCAAAATCTCAGGTGCCCCGGAAACGATGCTGCCACATTCTGTCTTCAGCTTTGACAGTTGGCGCTTTCTGGCAGACAGATCTCTGGCAAAGACTTTGGAGCCTTGGTTCCGCTCGATCGCTTCTTCAATACGAGCTGTATTGAATTTGCGTAGGTCCCGCCGCATGCATTTGGAGATCTGTCTGTTCAGTTGCCTGTATGCTGTTAAATCTGTTGAAGAATGTAGCTTCATCTCCCGTCTAACAGCCATGAGATTAAGAGTGTGATCGGAGTTTTTGTGTTCTTCTGCGGCGGGTCTTGCAGAACTTAGCTCCGACCGCATGGACAGTTTCCACGAGCTTGTCATTCAAATCGTCCACTTCATTGCAGTCTTCTAGGCACTGAAAACGGTTTTGTAACTCGAGCTGAAAGGTTTCGGGACTTTGGATTAGAGCACGAGGGGGACGGAGCGTTGACTTCATTAGACGAGACCTCTCCAACTTAACGTTTAGGTTCAGTGTGCCTCTAACCATTCGGTGATCGCTGCCGGGTTTCACCCTCGCGATCACTGAGACATCACTGAACAGTTGTCGTCTGGTCGTCATAATGAAGTCAATCTCATTTTTTGTCGAACCGTCGGGGAACATTTCAGTAGTCCATACATTTTCTGCCGTTACTGCTGTTTGGCCCCGGTTCTTTGGTCATCTTTAAGATTAATTTTATCCCTTTTGAATTCAGCATATCTCCTAAAAATTGTTGCGCGTGATGGAGCTGAGTTCCCTAATGCTGATTATAACCGTTGTAAACTTAATTGTTCGGTTAAACTAAATTTAAAATCATAATATATCATAGCGCGCAAATGGTCACGGTTAAGATCCATCGTTTTAAATTAAAAGCGCGGGAAGCGTTGCAAGAAAATTAATACAACATTGTTTTTTATTTTTCAATTGACTTATGGAGTTCAAATTTTAAATAAATTTGCTTTTTAGAAACATATAACAAAGGTGCGTCCCATTTTCAAATTTTGAGCATCTCAAATCTTGTTGAGTGACCTACATAACAAATACTCACAAGTGTACATAAATCACCGGCGCGGTGTACCGTTATGTAAAGGAAACCTTTACATGATAGAGCCATACTGCAGCTATATTATGGTTGTAGCACGAATGGGTCGGCTCGATCGGGGAAGAACCACGCTCTCACAGATTACCGGCGTAAAATAGCGGCTTATATTATTAGAATTTAATATTATTTTGAGTTATTATTGGGAAGATGTTACTGCCCATCTCCTATATCAGTTTCCCTTTGTTGGCTCTCACGAATCCCACAGGATGATATTGGGTAGTGAATTCTGCGACGTTAGCGCTACATGACGACTACACATATTGATAACATATGACAAAATATTACAATCAATATAATAGTCTGTAATGGCCCCTGATCATCAGCACTGTTAGTTCGTTTTTCACTTCAATTTTATATAAAAAGCGGGGTGTTGCTATGTGAATACGCACACGTGACGACTAACGAGCTCAAAATGGCTGCGCTCCCCCGCCGCACAGTTGCCTCACTCAACGTAACGAATTAAATTTTGGTTGCAGACAATAGATATATAGCTGTAACACCACACTGTATCCCCCGATTTCGTTATCATCAGTTTTCTGAATTGCCTCCTACTATGCAATTTTAAAACAAAATAAAATTTAATTATGTAAAGATGATGATTTGAAAATGCAAATTTAAAGATGTATTCACGTCAAAAACGTTTCCAGGTGCAGCCTCGGATTTCTACTTGTCAAGTGAACTTTTATCTTACTTACTTACTTACTTACTTATCTTCACGCACAATCCCTGACGGGGTAGCCAGAGAGAACAGATCGCCAAGTGTCACGATCCTTACATATCTCTTTCGCTTCTTTCAGATTCATTATCTTCTTCATACATGCACGTCTAGGTATCCGAGTACTCTTGACCCTACCCTCTTCGAGCAATTTGCTCACATGGTCTTCGAAAGTTAGTCTCGGTCTACCTCGACACCTTTTAATATTAACTTTCGCGCTATATATTTTCTTCACCATTCGGTCTTCACTCATTCGCTCAACGTGCCCAAACCACCGAAGCACGCCCTTATCAATTTTTGTGATAAGGTCATCTTTCAAACCTGCCATATTGCGAATCTCTTCGTTTCGCTTTCGGTCGGCCATAGTAACGCCGCACATTTTACGAAGAGATCGCATCTCCACTGCATTCAACTTACTTTTATGCTTCTTCTGGCATACCCAGGTTTCGCTGCCATATAACAAAGTCGGTACCAACACTGCGTTATGTATTGCAAGGCATGCACTCTTCGCTACGCCTTGCCTTTTGACTAACGCAGTCAGGGCACCATTGACTTTGTTCCCGGCAGCGACACGCCTGTCCACATCTAAATCACATCTTCCATCCCGGCTAAAAGCACTCCCCAAGTATACAATTTCATTTACCTGTTCTAGACATTCCTGATTTACCCATATTTCACACTTCGTTCTCTCTTCGTCCCTTTCAAATACCAGAACCTTAGTAAAAAACTTTTATCTAATTAGTAATATTATCATAAAATAATAAATCTCATTTCAATTGATAACTCGATTGCAGGAGAAACGAGACCTGATCACAGGGTTGAAGACGCGCACGAACGCGGGACGGCCCAACTGGGACAAAGTGTTCCAGCGGCTGCAGCAACAGCGCCACGGCAAAGTGACAGTGTTCTACTGCGGGCCGCCGCAACTGGCGCGTGTGCTGCGACGCAAGTGCGCGCACTTTGCCTTCGACTTCCGCAAAGAGGTCTTTTAGCACCGCTACCTTTGAAATCATACCGAATTCGTTTTCAACTTCCGCAAGGAGGTCTTTTAGGACCGCAGCCTTTCAAATCATATTTTTACATTCCACTCTGTTGGTTAAGTCTGTTCTTATCATTCATTCACTCATTTTTCATTTATTCATTATAGCCCATGCGCTCCGTCTTTCTTCTTTTTTGATCTGACTATAAACAAGATTGAAACTTTGACGCGTAATTTGTTTAGCTTGTAGACAGACGTCTGTTTTGAATCTCAGTATTTTAATTGTCTTAATATTGTTCAAGAACATAAACTAATACCAGTTACATATTTAAAGTAATTTGTTCAGTGGTTGTTTCTTATAATAGATATTAAAGCGACAGTAGCCTAGTGGCAGGGTGCGGATCGATAATGTTATAGGTCTTTAGTTATCATCCGCCATTCGACTACTGTCGTGAACTACTTCAAACACAAACATTTAAAGCTTACCAGGAGTGGTTATAAGAAATATTAGTAATGTTAATAACATTGCCAGTATTTTTTTTAATTATGTTATTTTCCTTTAACTAGTTTAGTGCCATTTTTAAATCTGTTATATTTAAGTTAATACTACCAACAAAAATAAAAATATTTCAACGAAAATAGGTTGTATATACGACAAGATTTTAGTTATAATCATTTAGCCTTATCGTCTAGTATCTTCAAACAGAAGTACCACAGGGTTTGTACTGCTACTTGATGGTTGAAATAAATAGGATCAACCCAGATATAAGCAAATAACGAACCTAGACCTTTACTTTATTAATAATGTTTATTTCTAATAATATTAACAACGTGTCACTTTTTATTGTTTTTAATTTATTTTAGCTATAACTATATTTCCGATCTTATCTTTTTGACTTTCATTCTGATCTTAGTTGATTATGATAATACCCTTCCTTTTTATTTTAAAATAATTCATTTTATCTTATGACAGAGCCTCGAATATTGGCCGAAGATGTCGCGCTATTCATTATTTTTAGGTATGCATTAAAAAATAAAAATATTACGTGATTACAATATAAATTAAAAACAATTCCTTTTAAATTAAAAATATTTATGTACCTTAGTTATTTAAGTGTTGCTTGATTTAGTAATAATTTATTTATCGTCTAAGAGCATGTGTATTACGCAAATAATGTATTATTTAAAAAATGATGATTCATTTTTATGGTAATAATTATAAGTTTATAATAATAGATAGATAGTTCATATTTAATTTTTTTTATAAGATAAGGGTGACAAACGAGCACACAGTCCACCTGATGGTAACTGGTTGCAGCGACTCATAGACACCTACATCTATCTTCGATCACAAATCAAAATGCAGATGTGTCGTCACCCGTGAGGACTAAGATGGAATGCCTCTTTTCCAGTAAAAAGGGTCTCCGGTTCTCTACACTCAACATACGAAACACAGCAACGTTAAGCTGCTATTAATGCCTTAAATTGCATCAACCCAAGGTCGATACACGCCAGGCGCGGCCCCAATAATATTGTTAACTGCAAATTTAAGCGATATATATAATAGAGTACTTTTATATATTATGTTGAGAACGCCCCAGTATTAATAAGGTACTCTGTGGTGATAACACACAGACGTACGGTTAAAGCAGCCCGTCTCTTTCCTGCTCTAAAAATCCTTAGAAAACGAGTGGAATATTTTGTCTCACAGTAGCAGTTTAATCTATGTACCTACCTATATGAAGAAAGTTTTTGTATTGTATATAAAATAGTTCTGTATATTATTGTAAATTATTATTATATTTTTATACAGATTATACACACCTGGATAATAATGTACTTACATTAAAATAGCAATATGATAGTTACCATTAGAACTTTTAATATATATTTATTTTGTGTATTTCTAAAGCTGTTTATAAGATTTTTTGAATAAATAAACATGTTGCTATTTTTGTTTCTATTAATTTATATCATGTTACAACGTATTTGCAGTATAATTGGCATCGTAAATATTGTTACGAGTTTGGGGTTCGAGACAATTAAAAACTGCCGATCGAATTACCAAAATTGACACTTAATTATAAAACACTAATTACAACTTAAAAACACACTAATAATAAAACGCAATTGTACTACTGATCACTTTAGTTCGCAGTTATTTCGCTTCGAAGTATTCGCTTATATCGCCGATTCAGTACTGCCCCGGTCGTGGTCTATACCAGCCTTATATAGGGCCTCAGATAGTTTCCAGAACCTTCTACTGTAGCGACATCTAGAATGTTCGAGTACATATCGGTCCCGAAATTTCTGGAAGGATCTTGACTCTCCTAGTTCTGCTACTCGACAATACAGGGCGCTAGTGTAACTAGTGTTGCCATGTACAAGACATTAATAGTGGCGCGCAACACTGCCCCCTCCTCATGCTCGTCCCGAGCATTATTGGCCCCATAATAATGCGCCAGTCGATCGACATGGACTCAGACGTTTGCTGGCCCGACTGTCTTACGTGCTCATTCATCATAAATGTCATTCATTCGTTCAATTCATTCGTTTTAGTGCCGCGAGTCATAATGACTCGCGGCACTAAAACGAAATGTATGAAATTTATGACTCCAAATGCCAAACAATTAAATAGTAATGTAATTTTAAATGGGGAGAAACTGAGTCTTGTAGATTTTTCTTGGAATCACACTAGACGCGAAGCTTCAATGGAGCCCCCATATATCAAAACTAGCAAGCAGACTTAGTTCTGCAGCATATGCCGTAAAAAAGATTAAAAATCTAACTAGTGTTGAAACAGCTAGACTTGTTTACTTTAGCTATTTCCATAGCATAATGTCGTATGGTATTTTGCTATGGGGACACGCAGCTGACACTGAAATTATATTTGTTTTACAGAAGAGGGCCATAAGAGCAATTTATGATTTAAAGCCTAAAGAGTCGCTGCGACAAAAATTTAAGGAAATTAATATATTAACTTTGGCCTCTCAATACATTTATGAAAATGTAATGTACGTACACAAAAATAAAAGTAGTTTTACAAAAATAAGTGATATTCATTCTGTAAATACTAGGAACAGACACAAGCTAGTAGTACCAGTTACTCGACTCCATCGAGTCAGTAATTCATTCTTGGGGCGATGTATACGCTTTTACAACAAAATTCCAGAAAATATACAAAATCTGACCTGCTCAAAGTTCAAAAACTTTATTAAACTAAGTTTGTATAAAAAGGGTTATTATAATATTAATGAATTTATAGATGATAATAACCCCTGGAAATGAGGTGATCGCTACCAAGCTATTTCTAATTTATTGTGTTGTTGATTTGTGTAACATACATGATTGTAAGCTGTTATTTAAAAAAAAAGTCCCGCTGGGTTTTTTGCTGGTTCTTCCCAGGACAGAGGTTTTTTTTTCGAACCAGTGGTAATCATACAAAAGAGTATTCCACAATATTCCACTTTCTAATCGGTTATACTGCGTGGAGCATCAGGTGGTATTCCAGTGATCAGGTCTGCAGGCAGCCGTAATTCTCTCCCAAAGTTTGCGAAAGCTGGCGTCACTGATGTACTTTCATGAACAGCGCTTCGATATGACAACAAAAACTGTCCCATTCTCGTTGACATTTTTCCACAACTTTTGCCAGGTACCTTTCCAATGTCTGATTAAATCGTTCTACCATTCCATCAGATTGTGGGTGGTAAGAAGTTGTTCGTGTTTTATGAGTACCCATAACTCTGCAAGTTTCCTGGAATATTTGAGACTCAAAATTCCTTCCTTGATCGCTGTGAATCTCTAAGGGTACTCCAAAACGACAGAAGACTTCGTGAACTAGTTTATCTGCAACTGTTGAAGCTTCTTGATTTGGAATGGCGAAGATTTCTGGCCACTTAGTGAAGTAATCCATCACAACCATGAAATACTTGTTACCACTTTCACTTTCCGGGAACGGCCCCGCAACGTCAATGGCTATCCTCTCCCATGGTGCACCAACATTGTACAATTTCAATGCGCCTCTACTACGAATTTGAGGTCACTTTACAGCCGCACAACTTGTACATTTGCGGCACCAGTCCTCGACATCGTCACGACAGTGGACCCAGTAAAACCATTCTCGGCTCTTCAGTAAAGTTCGTTTAACTCCCAGGTGGCCTCCTGAACAACCACTATGGTACTGCTGTAGAACATCCGGTACTTTAGCCTTAGGGACAACCATTTGCAAATGACATCTGTCTCCCAGACCATTTTCCCATTTACGGCACAGGACTCCATCCTGAATCAGCAAGCTGTCCCATTGGGCCCAATAGCTTTTCGTGGTCGAACTCATTGCTGAGACGCGGCTCCACTTGGGCTTAGGAGCACTGGCCTTCATCCATTCCAGAATCGGCTTAATGTCCGAATCTTCCTGCTGTGCATGTTGTAGGCTGTACTTCCACTCATTGCTGAGCTGGTCTGTCTTGAGCATCCTCACAGATACCACTTCCTTTGTGACAGACACTAAAGTCCTCCCGTCTAATTCTCGGTGCTGTTGTACTACATACTCATCGATCGGCTCAGTCATGTAAACAACTTCATAGCCACGCTTCTTCACCCTCTCCACAAATGAGGAGTTGGCTACCTGATCTCTGTTCTCGCCAGTAATGTAGTAGACGTGTTTCTGGTTTTCCTTCATGCGTGATACATACTCTTTCAGAGAGCACGCTTCATCGCCGGAGGCAGATGTGTGGTAACGAAGCAAGTCTGCCAATTTGGATCTGTTTTGGGAATATTCGTGGATACCCAGCTTCAGCTTTTCGATTCTTGCTGACCTGTTCGTAGAATTTCTTGTAGTTCTCCTTGTCCTCAGCCAACTCCTCGAAGAGTTCTAAGCATTTCTTAACTAAGTTCTTTCTAATTACCTTAAGGATTTTGTTTTGTTGGAGCATTTCACGTGAAATGTTGAGGGGCAAATCCTCACTGTCGACCACGCCCTTGATGAAGTTGACGTACTCAGGGATCAAGTCTTCACAGTTGTCCATGATAATATAATATAAATCTATATCATTGAAGAAATGTTTTATCTGATACCTTAGTTTATATTTTACAATTATATAGAGAAATTCTAGTTTGTTAAAGGTGCCAAACGAGCACTCAGTCCACCTGATGGTATGTGGATAATGTAAAGATAAAGATACTTTTATTTTGCCAATATGGATACAGGAAATGGTGATGTAAGTAGTGAGTTCAGCCATATTTTACCAGTAGACATGCAAAAAATACAAAATTATAAACTAATCCGCTATATCATAAAATAACATAAAACCAAACATAATTCTGATTGTTAACATTACACAGTCTTAATCTTAAACGAAAAATTTTTCAGTCAAAAATTCCGTTACGCTATAGTATGCTTTGACTGTCAAAAAGCTTCGAAGCCTATTTTTAAATATCGATAGCGGCAATTCTTTCCAACTTTTAGTTATTTTATCACATATGACCGGAGCCATGCAGTAGATACTTTTGCGCATTAGTGCTGTCGTAGCGGATTGATGACACAATAGAGTATTGTCGCGTCTATTACGTGAAACTACATCGGCAAGGCGTTTAAAACGATTTGGATGTAACTTAACAAACACAGCTACTTCTAGTATGTATAAACAAGGTAATGTCAGTATTTTAAACTGTTTAAAATATGGCATGCAGCTATCGGTAGTTTTAAGCTTAAACATCGCGCTTATGCCTTTTTTTTGAGCTTTAAACGCTGTATCTTTTTCGGTTGAGTTACCCCAAAATATTACTCCATATCGGAGGTGAGATTCTGCTAAGCCGTAGTGTAGCTCATATACATTTACATCTACCCTCGATTAAGTATCAAAATCAGGGGCGTAGCTACCGCCGTATCAGCTGTATCAACGATACGGGGCCCCCGGGCTACAGGGGCCCCAAACGTCTGTGAGCAAAAATTCCAAGGACTTCTATGGGACAGGAAAGGCTATCGCTATTGTCTATAGAAGTAAAGAATTTAGTAAAACTGAAATCGTCTTCAGCTATGAATGCAGCCGAATCTTCTTCAGCTGTGTTCGCCGAACAAAAGGCACGAAAAGTGTATATTTGATTTGAATTGTTTGGCTAGCTTAGTTCCTAGGAGTATTAATTGTAAGTAATAACTCAAAAACCCGTGTAGTGGCACGGGTGGCAGTGGAGAACACTCACTACCCCATATCTTCCCGTGGGTTTCGTAAAAGGCGACAGAGGGAAACTGAGGCAGAGGATGGGCAGCAGCATCTTTCTGATAACAGCAAAACAACAATAAAAAAACTGCGGTTGCCAACCCGTTCGCCAAGCTTGGCAACTATGGCAATATACCCCCCATGAAAGTAACGAAGAGATGGCCCCCAGTCCCCGGCGGCCCCGCTATTCCTGGCTACGGTGGCGACCATGGTAACGGCGGGGCAGGAGGTGCTAAGAATCACCGGTGGAGGTTCTGTTGCCACCTACGACGACTCGACCTGGCAACTTATAACGCACGCACCCTGAGGACTGACGAGAAGATCGTAGAGCTGGAAGAAGAGATAGAAAAGTTGCGCTGGAATGTCATAGGATTATCCGAAGTCCGAAGAGAGGGGGAGGGCACGGTAATCCTCGAATCCGGCAATTTGTTCTATCACCAGGAGGGCGACCATCTGTCCCAAGGAGGTGTCGGATTTATCGTCCACAAGTCTCTTGTTAACAACGTTGTAAAGACTGGGAGTGTGTCGACGAGGGTTGCGTACCTTATACTCAGAATCACTAAACGGTATTCGCTGAAGGTCATACAGGTTTACGCACCAACCTCGGAACACCCCGATGAGGAGGTGGAGGACATGTATGAGGATATATCTAGAGCCATGTATTCCTCCAAAACCTACTATACGGTGTTAATGGGAGACTTCAACGCAAAACTAGGCACAAGAGAGAACGGTGAGCTAAAAGTAGGGAATTTCTGGAATAGGGCAACGGAACCCAAGGGGCCAGAAGCTGGCCGACTTCATGGTAAAAGAGGGACTTTTTATGATGAACTCTTTCGTCCAGAAGCAGCCCCACAGGAAATGGACCTGGTCGAGCCCCGACGGTTCGACAAAAAATGAGATTGACTTCATTATGACGACCAGACGACAACTGTTCAGTGATGTCTCAGTGATCACGAGGGTGAAAACCGGTAGCGATCACCGAATGGTGAGAGGCACACTGAACCTAACCGTTGAGTAGGAGAGATCACGTCTAATGAAGTCAACGCTCCGTCCCCCTCGTGCTCTAATCCAAAGTCCCGAAACCTTTCAGTTCGAGCTACGAAACAGTTTTCAGTGCCTAGAAGATTGCAATGCAGTGGACGATATGAATGACAAGCTCGTGGAAACTGTCCATGCGGTCGGAGCTAAGTTTTGCAAGACCCGCCGCAGAAGAACACAAAAAATCTCCGATTACACTCTTGATCTCATGGCTGTTAGACGGGATATGTAACTGCAGTCTTCAGTAGATTTGACAGTATACAGGCAACTGAACAGACAGATCTGCAAGTGCATGCGGTGGGACTTACGCAACTTTAATACTGCTCGTATTAAAGAAGCGATCGAGCGGAACCAGGACTCAAAAGTCTTTGCTAGAGATCTGTCTGCCAGAAAGAGCCAACTGTCAAAGCTGAAGACCGAGTGTGGCAGCGTCGTTTCCGGGACACCTGAGATTTTGAGTGAGATTGAGCGGTTCTATGGGTAGCTGCACATATCATCCTTGGAGTCACATGTAAGTGTGAGTAACGATCCAAGAGCGAGTTTTATCCGACACTATTCCGATAATATACTGGACGTCAGTCTGAGTGAGATTCGAATGGCTCTCCAGCACCTTAAAAACGGCAAGGCCCCAGGCGAGGATGGAATTACAGCGGAGCTTCTGAAACCGGGTGGAAAACCGGTATTTGAAGTCCTCCTTGGTGGCATTACACCGGAGGCGTAGAGCAGAAGTGTGGTGGTCTTGTTCTTCAAGAAAGGTGACAACGCTCTCTTGAAGAACTACAGGCCGATTTCCTTTCTGAGCCGCGTCTACGTGCTGTTTTCGAGAGTCATTACGAATCGTCTCGCGCGCCCACTTGACGACTTCCAACCTCCCGAACAAGCCGGTTTCAGAAAAGGCTTTAGCACCATAGACCATACATACCCTTCGGCAAATTTTACAGAAATCCGAGGAGTACAATTTGCCACTATGTCTGGCGTATGTGGACTATGAGAAAGCCTTTGATTACGTCGAAATTTGGGCGGTGCTGCAGTTCCTTCAGCGATGCCAAGTTGACTGGCGGTATATCGAAGTGCTGAAGTGCTTGTACAGTAGGGCTACGATGGCTATCCGAGTACAGAACCAGAGTACGAAACCTATCCAATTGCAGAGAGGTGTAAGACAGGGTGACGTTATATCCCCGAAACTCTTCACCGCTGCATTGGAAGACATTTTCAAGCTTCTGGACTGGAAAGTATACGGTATTAACATGAATGACGAGTACATCATTCACCTTCGATTTGCCGACGATATAGTCCTTATGGCAGCATCGCTGGAGGACCTAAGCACTATGCTTAGTGACCTCAATAGTGTTTCCCAACGGATAGGTCTTAAGATGAACATGGACAAAACAAAGATCATGTTTAATGTCCATGTCACACCTATGTCGGTATTTGTTGGGAGCACTAAGCTCGAAGTTGTTGACGAGTATATTTACCTGGGACAAATAGTCCGACTAGGTAAGTCCAACTTCGACTGAGAGGTCAATCGACGGATTCAACTCGGCTGGGCAGCGTTCGGGAAATTACGGCACATCTTCTCGTCAGGTATACCTCAAAACTTGAAACCGAGCCTGTACAATCAGTGCGTGTTGCCAGTGACGACCTATGGTACTGTGACATGGTCCTTCACTGCTGGCCGGATGAGGAAGCTCAAGGTCGCTCAGCGAGCTATAGAGAGGGTTCGGAGTTTCTCTGCGTGATAAACTTAGAAATGAGGATATCTGCAGTAAAACCAGAGTGATCGACATAGCCCAACGGATTAGTAAGCTGAAGTGGCAATGGGCCGGCCATATAGCTCGAAGAACCGACAACCGATGGGGTAAAAAGGTTCTCGAGTGGCGGCCTCGTACCGGCGGACAAAGTGTAGGGCGTCCCCCCACTATATGGAGTGACGACCTGGTAAGATATGCAGGAAGTCGATGGATGCAGATGGCTCAGGACCGTGCTTTGTGGCATTCCTTGGGGGAGGCCTATGTTCAGCAGTGGACTTGTGAAGGACTGTAATGATGATGATGAATAACTTAAAATCAATATATAATAATTTGAATTCAATGCAAGCGTTTTTGTTCCTTTTATGAAATCTTTACTCTTCATTGGGGCCCCCCAACAAATTTTGATACAGGGCCCATCTAAGGCACGCTACGCCACTGATCAAAATGCAGATACGTAGTCAATTCTAAGGAATCCTAATGGATGCCTTGTTTATTACTAAGTGGTTGGACGCCGTCTCCGCCTAGAAGTCCCGGGGGGGTTCACCAAATAATTGCTGCTGAATCCCGACACAGTTTCCCTCCAAAAACGATCCTAAAAACGAGAAAAGTATTTTGTAAACTACTATATATTTCTACTATAAGGGAGGGGAGGGGGGATACCACCCTTTTACCTATTTTTGGCGCCAATAACAGTGTCTGAACTGCTTGCTTTGTTCCTATCTCAAGGATATAGGGAGAGATATAATAACAGGCTGCGAAACATTCCATTATGTATTAGTTTACTTCCTCACGCACGTATCTGCAGCCTTCTTTATTTGAAGTTGGATACAAGTATCCATGGGCTCCAGTATCCACTTACACTCAGGCGGACTGCAAGTTCGTTTATGAAGTCACAAACGAACGTTTTATATAAAGAGTCTAAAGCATTTTGGACACTCACCGTAGGGCACAGACCAACATTATAGGTATTGTTATTTTAGGCTGGTGTACTTCCTCGGTCGAGCGAACCCATTCGTACTA